GACGGCACTTTGCCCTATGCATGGGGGTGGCGTTGAGCTGTGGGCAAGTATAGGAATACTGAATACTGGATTTACTGTCCATGTGTGCAAGTTGGAGTGTATATCATCAGCAGAAAGAGAGACAATCGAACAGCGTCAAACAAATATGGAACCCAAGAGATGCATTTTGTCCGCTCCTTTTTGTGGGTCCTTATTTTCCAGTTCTCGGCGTTTGCCAGGATACATTGGCCTCGGGCAAGGTGATCCCAGGCTTTGGCCACGGCGTTTTGCGCAACACTGACCCGTGCCTCGTCTCACGTTTCGGCGTCCAAGTGATGTGAAAGAAGGAGTTGCTTTGGTCAGGCTCAAGTGAAGCGGCTTAGACAGTAAGTTTCTTAAAGCCTGCTCGGTTTCAGAGCCAGGTTATTCAAGCTCGGCTGAACTTCAGTCAATATGTTTGCACCACTGAGCCCTCAGGCGCTATGTTATTCAGCGACAGTTTGCCCAGGCAGGCTCCTGATTATTCTGGCCGTTTTACTTGTAAGAACACATTTGGTTTATATAGATCTTGGATCCTGTGAATGCAAGGGGTCTGCCATGCGTGTTTCTGTTTTGCTTAGATTACAGAGACGCTATATATACATAGCTTGGCAAAGGCCTAGACGCAGACAGAAAATTGTTTCACACTTTTCATGTCTTGCTGATGCATTGTTACTTCAATCTAACCTGAAAATATTGGAAATCGTTTTAACGTTTAGAACGTTATTCAGAAGAAAATCAGAGCTTGCAGCAACAACCGCCACGCGCACGGACCAGGACAACTTCCCCAATGACCCTCTGGTGAAGTTGGCAGAAGTTTGCTTCCAGGCCACTGGAGACCAGGGCGACTGGCCATGACCCGCATGGATGGCACACATGCATGCACATGTGGATTTCTTGAACAAAAGTATTTCGCACACGCTCAGACACATTGGCCACAGGCTATCCCACCTGTCCTGGAAGCCACTGGCAAGGTGAAGAAGCTTGGCTGCAATGCAGGGTCTTTTAGAGTAGCACCATTACGTTGAGCTTCTCACCTTTAACCCTGTGGATTGATGTGGCCTGCCGTGGCCTGTGTATTGCGTGTACGACTTGCCTTGCTGTTCGAAGGGAGAGTATCATAGTCTTAAATGGTTTGGATTTTCGACATGGAACTGACTTGTTGCAGCATCTCAGGAATCCTTGGCCAAACGTGGATGCCCTTTCCGGCACTTGCATGCTTTGAAACCCAGCTGCTTCCGTTCGTCAAGATGACGGTCGAGTCAAGCCTATGGTTGTTTTCTTTGTTCTTTTGCGATCCACGAGCTTGCAGCTTATTTGTGATCCTTTAGAGGACAAGTGCAGTTTCAGTTCAGGCAGTACTTCGGCTTGGACCAGGAGGATTACTACACAGTTTTATCCCCAGATGAGCTGGCTACAGAGCTGAGGGTAAGAACAAGTCCAGCACATGGGAATGGGGCAAACACCAATGCAACTTGTGGATGAGCATCCATTGACAAGCTCCTTTGACGTTGGCCGTTGGCCTTTTCAATGAGCCCCTTACCTTAAAGGGGCACCTTACCACCGACCATTCTTCTTTCCCGCGGTTGAAGGGTTGGAGCCCCGACCACTGCGAGGTCATTTTCGCCGTCTCCCGAGCGCTTGGTTGCACCTCCAACTTGGTGTGGCTGGAGACTTGGTCAGTATCAGGCAAGAGGTCAAGCAAGATTTGTAGTTTCAGGTTAGGAGTTGCATTTTCTCCAAGGTCCAGGATGATGGGCTTGCCCATCGAGAGGCAGGACCTGCACACTGCACTTTGGATCGCTGACTTTCGGACATGTGGAGGCCGAAGAGTGTAACCTTGGACTGGCTGAGCACGAAGGTCAAGTGAGGGAAGTGCCGAATTGCATCTTCCAGCCAGAACGGACACCCTGTGGGTGGTTTTGAAGGCACAGGAACAGAGTCAGACACCAGACTGTTTGCATCCTTTGGAGAAGGACGCGAAAGCTTTTGAACTTCACAGGTAATATTGCAACTCGGCTGCTCTCCATTTGTTTCCAGGCAGCTGAGTAGAGCCATTGCAACTTGTTTCTTCCGCACTGTGCGGGAGCTGTACTCCTTCTGGAGAATGTCCAGGACCCTTTGATGGCATCACTACCTCAGAATCCATAAGATGACTGCTGCAGTCAAGGGGTTTGCTGGACTATTGATTTTAATCAGTGGCGGCAAAGAAGTCCTTGGTGGTGTGCTGTTCCATGTCAAAGCAGTTCCATAGGTTAAAGCTTTCTGACCCAATTGCAAGTGGTAATGATGGCTCATGCTTTCTGTTGGAAGAGCACGTTTGGCTCCTGGCATCTGAAAATCCGGGGGATCGGGGGATCGCTACAAGGGCAAGCGGCCTCGGGCTGAGAGAGGGGTACCTCGAACTGGGCTGCGAGTCGGGTCTCTTTTCTTCGCTCAGGGCTCCCATGGCACAAGAGGCACAGAGTCGGCTGGAATCTGTTGGGTAGATTGATTCGGTGATGGGTCAGTTGATGGCATCAAGCATGATCCATATTGATCTATGACTGGTCCTTGCAAAAGAATGGCACACCAAGCAGTTTCTAACACCGAAGAGTGCGTCTGGCGTTTGTGGACGCGAGGAAAGAACTGTGCCGCGAGTGCCTTCAGGGTCAGAGGCCCAGCCGAAATCCCAAAGCGAAAGACCTAGCCTGGACGAAGGAGGCCATCGCTTCTAGGTAGGAGGGCAGAGCGGCCTTTTTGAACAGCCCTGTAAACAAGTTCTTTGCAGACAAACAAAAAAAATAGCGATGGCCTCCACCTAATAAAGCGTCCTTTTAGTTGAAAAGCAAGGAGTTGGGAAGCTGAGCTGAGAAAGCGACGACAATGCTTGGGACTGAGGCCAAGGCCCTCTGCTCGACGGCCAGTAGGGGGCCCAAGTGAGCATTATTTGTTCAATGGATTCTGATCGCGGTCTTCAGCTTAATGCGTCATGGAATTTGAGGCGGTGCGGCCGAAGGCACATGATGTGCCACAGGACACAAAGCGTGGGATGTGGAACTCATGAACACTGAGCTCGTTCTACTCCGCTGGCTAACACCTGAATTACAAAGTGTTTTAGGCAGCCAAACTGAAGAAGCAAGGTGGGAAGATTTTGCCACTGCACGCATGTGCCCGTGGCCTTTCACAACTTGAATCCATCAAGGGCATGCTGGGCTTCAAACCAAGAGCGAATAAAAGCGACATCAACCTTAAAGACTCAAAGACTAGTAGCACGCGACACTTTCTTATTTGCACACCCTCATATCTATGAACCTTCCAATACGCTGATGTACACACTCAGACGTCAGTGCGGGAGTTCTAGCGGCTGAAAGTTCTTTGTAGTGGCACGTGACATGGTCGAGAGTTTTTGTGCAGAATTGCTTCTGACTGGCCCAACGGGTCACGACTAATAAGCATCAATGACTCCAACGACGTCTTCAATGACTCCAGGCCCAAAGAAGCACCAGCAGCTCCCGTGCACGGCCAGAGGTGCAGATTTGCAGTTTTGGCCGAGCTTTGTGTTGGAACCATCTTGTGATTCGATGCTCCAAGCAAGTGACAGACATTGGACGTTTGCAAGATCTGACCACACCACTTATATAAACTTGCTTTCAGTAGTGTTGGACAAAGTCTGTACAATCTGCCCAACTCCAACGTAGGGGTACCAAAACGGCCCTTTTGTCCCAAGAGACGAAACTTTGCGTCTTGGGATTGGGCTTTGGCTCCAGGCGGACGTGCCGGTCCAGCTACATCCTGTTGCCTGGGTGATGGTGCCAAGAGTTGCAGAAGCTCTCAATTTGGTCCGTTGGGTTTGATTTCCGCTGTATGCGCATCATGAGAGGGTTCCAAAGGCTGTGAACCTGGCTCCAAGTTTGTTTCCACTGCATGTTCGCAGATCTGCCAATCAAAGGTTCGAGCATTGCGAGCGCAAGCATCCCAAAGTGCAATACAAAGCCAGGAGGTGGGAAATGTTTGGACATGCTTCTGAACTGCATGCGCTGGTTTTTGTCTTCCTTTCTGGAAGCAGCAGCGCAATGATAATTTCTCCATTTTGTCACAGATCACTGGGGGTGACCACATGCTTTCTGAGCCGCTTGAAGTATCAATTTCATGGGAGTGAAAGAGGATGTACAATGTGCAGGGGGGCAGCGGTTGGGAGGGTGCAACGCTTCCCAAGTAGCACACAAACTATTGCAAAGAGGGAAGCGGACTGGGGGGGTCACAACATGAGGAAGTCTCTTGGCAGCATTGTAATGAACCCCCGGGGCAGGTGTACGAGGTGATCTTGCTTTGGAGTTTTTTGCCTCGCAAAATAAGCCCACAAAGTTGGTTTGATCACTGGGCCGTTGGGGCAAGGTGACGGAAGCTAACAGTGCAAAGGCGCGTGGAGCGCTTTCGTGCGTCCTTGACAGGACATGGATGTCAGGTAAGCATCGACGGCATTCAGTTGAATTGACTCAGTGAACTCCTTGCACGACTGAGCCATTCTTCTTTTGGAACAACCATTCTTGAGAGCCGAGCCAGGCACAAGCAGTCGCGGCATTGCAGCGGCTCTTCTTCGAAGCGTTAAGAAGTGGCCAGGCCTAAGGGAAGTGTATGACGTGATGGTACTGTGCAATTCTTTCTTTTGTTTCATGCCAATTGAGGACCCCAACATGAACAGATCCCCAATGAACGAAACTGCCGTAGCTAAGCGTGATGGGAGGGACTGGTGGGAGCATCACTGCAAAGTAAACAAAGGTTCTCCATCTTTCTTCCGGGTGTTACTTTTTCCTGGTCAACAAAACTACTGTAAAGGATCTCCATGACTTGAGCTGCTTCAGCTTCCAACTTTCCGACTTTTCCGAAGCTCAAGCGATTTCCAACGCAGCCTCCCCACTTCAGGACGCCAATGGTGCTGCCGCTCAGGCGCTCCGGCGGCTCTTGGCTTGGTGCTTGGCAGGCTTCCGGATCACAGCCTGGCAGTTGTACTCCTTGTTAATAATATATACATGTTACATGTTATATAATACTGGTGACTTCACAAGCAGTATTTCTTTTGCTGTATACTGCATACTGAATACCTTGCACAATTCTGAGACATTCTGACACTATTTTGCGTTGTACTGCTTGCAGTCTGTGGCAGTGAGCAGGGGCCACGCGTGAACAGTGCCCATCCTTTGAGTGCGAATTCATCACTGAGGAACCAGCTCAAGCAACAGAGGGGCCGAAGGCTTTCGGGAGCATGATTTCTTTCGAACGCATCACGTCAACATATTAACTGTTGCAAAAGAATCTAGGAACCAAGTCATTAAGCCTGCTACTTAAGCTAGTTAGTAGCTTACCTACTTGCAGTTACTCTTGCCTCCTCTTGCCTGCCTACACCCCCTCCCACCTTGAAAAATGATGTCATGGCCACTTGGGAGTTGTAGTGATCCAGAAGCTGCTGGCATGACAACAGACAATGGTGCCAAGAAGACCCTGTCCACCGTTTGTGCGAGGCCTGCCATGACCAAGTCTATGTCCTGCTCCCAGAAGTGCAAGGAGATAGACAGTAGAAGCAGCTGGAAGGGGGTTGGTATGTGAGTTGCATTTGTCGAAAAAAGGGCGGGAGAATGTCCTTCTGATTTCCTGCAGATGCACAGAGCGCATCCAAGTGGTATGCTGACATCCCACAGCTGAAACCCAGGCCATCGAAGGATCAAGAGCTCGAAGAGGCTTGGCATGTTCAGCAAGCACTTGCACCGCAATCATTCCTGGGGTGGAGGGGTATGAAGGGCTTCAAAGTGGGCTTAAACTGCTTGGACAAGACACTATTCCGTGAACAGGGACTCCACCAGCTATTCGGTTTGTGGCTAGTCAATCAAGCAATGCTTCTGCAAGGGCGAGCGGGTGCTCGTACTGTAGCAGTTTGGACCTAAGAGCTCATTTGTGGCACTCAGCTTTTGGGAAAGGACGATTGACCTTGTTGCATGTTTTTTCGATCGTTTTACATGCGGAGAAGCCAAGTTAAGGTCGAGACCTGACCTATCTGAGAAGTCGCTTTGACCTTTGCACAAGTATTTCGTTTCATATCATACAATGGATGTACGCATACACTTTCAAGGAACATATATCATATATATATATATATGTTTTTATATAACATAATGACATAAATACAATATTTTCATGTAACATGATATATCACATGTGTATATCTCTCATACAGATGCATAGTATGGA